CATCGCCGCGAGTCTTACTATCAAGCCGATATGAGTGTGCCTTCGAATTTTCGTGCTGATTTAACGGATTACAGGGATTCACGATTTGATCGGGGCCATCTGGCAGCCGCTGGCAATCATAAATGCCATCAGACACACTGTAATGAGACATTTTATTTGACCAATATTGCACCACAAGTCGGAAAGGGCTTCAACCGTGATGCATGGAATAATTTAGAAATTTATGTACGTGAATTAACTGAGCGTTATGGTTCCGTTTATGTTTGCACCGGTCCTATTTATAAGCCGAAACATCAGCTGCGCGGTGTCACTGATGCGGAGCATTGCGGAAAGGTAGATGACAAATGGTGTGTGGAATATGAAGTGATTGGTGAGAATACTGTGGCGGTGCCAACGCACTTTTTCAAGGTTATCACTGTCGAATCAAAGCTACCGGGCGGTTCGCCCTATATGGAGGCGTACATAATGCCGAATGCACCTATTAGTAGCAGTACGAATATACGCAATTTCCTGGCCGATATTAGAGAAATTGAACACATTGCAGGACTGCAATTTTTCAATGGCCTTCGTCGCAGCTTCTTTTTTGGCACCAATTACAGTACGGCAAGTGATATATACAGAAATTTTGTTTGAATAATTGTATGGGGAAGGTGGATTTGAGGGAAGGCTTTTATGTGAAAGTGAAACCACTTTTTGGTTACGGCATTGTAGATAATAGTAACAGAACACTTTTATTTACGGAATTCCTCATCATTGTTACTAGAGTCACTTGGAGCTTTCCGATAGCCCTCGTCCAAAAATTTCAGTTCTATAGCTGCGAAACTGACACTCTCGCGATATACATACATATGTATCACTCTTTTAAAAAATAATATAACACTACACAGATTTCATTTATGCACATTGTAATATCTACGCTCGAATAAAAATTATTTCGAACAGATTTATTATTAATCTTTGATATGAAAGCACAAATCATACAGCATCGAATAAATTCACGCGCGCAAACTGTCAAACACCTGGGGAGAGGAAACGGAAACCTTAGCATAAAGGAAGATGTGATAACAGCAAAAGCATCGGATGTCAAATTTACTTGCACTAGATGCACAAAACAGTTCTCATTGCACGATACAAACACACATGGCTTTTTCGGCTGCCACAATTTGCCAATGGAGAAGCAAATTATTATTTTTTTCTTCATTTTCATCAATTTTCATCTGATCATTTCAGCCGTTGATTAAATACCAGATGAACCGTTTGCATTTACACCCGCTTTGTTTTCCTTCACTGAACACACCACACACCAATGAATTGGAATTTCCTGACACTTGCCGAGCTGCCACTTGGCAGTATTTTTTGTAAACAATTTACCCTGCAGCGCCTCACTCCCACTAAGTAAAAGCCTTTTACTCAAAACCTAACATTTTATAAATTTATTTTTTTATTTTTGAAGAATACATTCTTTTGAGTCCATCCAACTAAGCGGTTCCTAGATGATTTGAAATTTTTATAAAAATCCACCAACTTACACCTGGAGTATGTGCATGCTGGCAGCACTGTTTACGTGGCAAACGTCAAACTGGCAACTGGCTCTGACGTGGAAGTGATTTTTTCTTAATTTCTTCGACGGGTTTGAAAGAAACTTTAGCGTTTATATAGTGGAAAAATAGTTGAAAGTTACATAAAACGCGAGTTGAGACCCTGTACTTTAGAGTACTTGTGGTTTTAAAATATTTTTTGCAATATAACATAGCTGTAATTGCAACAAATTTACACACATCCCATACCAACATAGTGCCGTGCTTTCTGTAGAAAGTTCAGTTTCTGCACCGACCGTCTCCACCTTCCGCGCATTCTTGTTTTGTATACTTGGCAAACAAAGGCAAAAACAATTAAGCTAGAAAAGATTTAAAAAAATAGAAAAACATGAATCCGAACGTCTACGGAGCACCACCACAACAACCACAATATGCAACGGGCTGGCCGTCGGCTCCACAGCAGCCAACGCAACCAGGTGGAGTACCACCTCAAATGAGAGCGCCGAGTGGTGGTGGCTACCCACCCAACAGCATGCCACCAACATCCGGAGCATCCGTATTGGGAGGTGTGCCCGGAACACAGCCACCGCAACAAAATTATGGACAAGGACATCAACCAGGAGTACTAAATGGCAATTATCAACAACAGGTTTGTTTTAAGTATGCTTACAAAGATTTGAACAGCATTTCATATTGTAAAAAATTGCTGGGCTAATTGATAAGAAAGTACAATCACGCACACTTTGAGGTCAACGCAATTATTAGTGATAACGCAGAGCTGCTTTTAAAAATTTGTATATAACATTTCCGGTACATACATGTGTATTTGTTAAAATGTTTTTGTTCTTTTTTTCAGTTAACGTCTTCAATGAGTGGCCTCGCCATGAACCCTTTAAAGCAACAAACACCAGTTCCTCCTCAAAACAATACGCCATATGCAAACGCTAACATACCCGGTGCGCCCATATCTGCGCCACCCACTATTGCTGGCGCTCCAGATGCACCACCATTGACAAATGGACCTCCAACTGGTGGGCAATCGCAACAGCCATTGCCAAGCAATAATAACAATTTTCCTGCTGGGCCATACGCTAACGGGCAAGCTTCAAAAACGCCACAGCCACAGGTGCCTCCTTCCATGTATTCCCCAGCACCAAATGCAGCGACACCACCCATGCAATCTGTACCAGGTGGACCAAATCAGATGACTGTAAACACCGCAAGCTTACCAGGATTGCCACACATGCCGCCAGCTAAACCGAGTGTAAGGAAAAATATTTGCATAGCAAAATATATTCACTAATATTAAATTACAGGCCGGCCCGCAATTATCTGGCCAACCACCAGTTGCTGCAGCGCCACCAACTTCAGCAGCTGGCGCTATGCCACAATATCAGCCACCGGGCGCACAACAAATGCCACCTAGGCCAGGTCAACTTCCACAACCTGGCATCCCTCAGCCACAACCACAACCGGCTGTATTACCAGGTCAACCAGGTTTGCCGCCTACATCGGCGCCAGCAACGCTGCCACCTCAACCGGGCATGCCACCGATGCCTGGCTATCCTTCACAAGCACAGCCGTTAGGTTATCCGCCACTACCACAGCAACAGCAGCAGCAGCCACAGCAAGCGGGCTATCCCGCACAGCCGCCACAACCTGGCTATCCCGCGCAACCCGGACAACCTGGTTACCCGCCACAACCGCAGCAGCCGGGTTTCCCACCACAACAACCTGGCTATCCTCCCCAACCGCCTATGCAAGGTGGCTATGCTGGGCAAATGATGCCACCAACACAACCCGGACAGCCGCCAATGCCAGGACGTCCCGGTTTTAATGTACGCTGGCAAAATATTATTTCCTAATGCTTTCACTAAGTATACACATATTTCGTTTCAGCAACCACCAGCACCGGGTAACATGTATCAACAGCCGCAACAGTATCCTCAGGCTCAGCGCCGTCTCGATCCCGATCAGATGCCAAATCCAATAAGCGTTATTATTGAAAACCAGCGTAATGCTGGTGGCGCTTTTGTCACCAATCAGCCAGGTCTTTTGCCGCCATTGGTCACTACCAAATATGTGGTGCAGGATCAGGGGAATTCCTCGCCACGTTATGTCAGGTATGGCGAAGCTAATGTCTATTTGAATGTTTATTTTAATTTTCATGTCATTATTATCTGCTACAGATCCTCTTTGTATTGCATCCCTGCTACGTCTGATTTATTGAAAACTACAGCTTTGCCATTTACCCTGCTCGTCTCACCAATGGCACGTACAGTGGAGGGTGAATATGAGCCCCCAATTGTTAACTTCGGTGAATTGGGACCAATTAGATGCAATCGTTGCAAGGCATACATGTCACCAAATATGCAGTTTGTAGATGCTGGACGACGTTTTCAATGTCTTATGTGCAAAGTAACCACAGAAGGTAAATTTTGAGTGTTTATTAATGGAATATGGAACTAGAAAATGTATTTATATTTCGTTGCTCAAAATTGCTCTTGTTTCATTGTATTATATATTAATAGTTAAGCATGTCGGGAATCAAATTTTATACGCATTTTAATTATATGTTTTTTTTTATTTGCCAGTGCCAACTGAATATTTCCAACATTTGGATCACACCGGACAACGTGTAGACAAGTATGAACGTCCCGAATTAGTATTGGGTACCTACGAGTTTTTGGCTACGAAGGACTATTGTCGCGTAAGTATTCACTTTCTTTACATAAAAAATAAATATATCGTAAGCGAGTTTTCGTATTTCTTGTAGAATAACACACCCCCGGAAATACCTGCTTTCGTATTCGTGATTGATGTTTCTTACAACACCATCAAATCGGGTTTAGTGCATTTACTTTGTTCGCAGGTCAAGCAGATATTAAAACACCTATCCGTTGATCAGGGGCAGGAGAAATCTAAAATGCGTGTCGGTTTTATTACCTACAACAGTACAGTGCACTTTTATAATATAAAAAGTAGCTTGGCACAACCTCAAATGATGGTGGTTGGCGATGTACAGGCAAGTTTCCACATGTCATACAATAAATCTAAAGTAATTTTTAATCTAACCATACAGGACATGTTTATGCCACTACTTGACGGCTTCCTTTGTCATCCTGAAGAATCCGATGCTTTAATCGATGCTCTAATGGAGCAAATACCGAAAATGTTTGTCGATACAAAAGAGACCGAAACCGTGTTCTATCCAGCTATACAAGCCGGTCTGGAAGCACTGAAAGCTTCTAATTGTGCTGGCAAATTGTTAGTCTTCAATTCGACACTTCCAATTGCTGAAGGACGCGGAAAGTTAAAGAATCGTGATGATCGTAAATTGCTTGGTACTGAAAAGGAGAAAACTGTGCTTACGCCACAGTGTAATTCTTACAATGCATTGGGGCAGGAGTGTGTACAGAATGGAGTGTCGGTTGATTTATTCTTATTTAATAATTCATACATTGATATTGCAACGGTGGGTCAAGTATCACGACTCAGTGGCGGAGAGGTCTACAAGTACACCTACTTCCAAGTGAGTTAAAAGAAATTAAAAATGCCCCCTTTTTCTATTTACTTGTATTTATTTGCAAAGGCTGACCTGGATGGCAATCGTTTGATTGAGGACATCATCAAGAACGTGTCACGCCCAATTGCTTTTGATGCTGTTATGCGCGTGCGCACTTCAGCCGGCATACGTCCAACTGATTTCTATGGTCACTTCTTTATGACAAACACAACCGATGTTGAATTGGCTAGCATAGGTAGGACGTGGGCAAAATTCTTAATATTAACAAATCTTTTAAAATATTCTTCTTTAAATCCATAACAGACTGCAACAAGGCTATTGCTATTGAGATTAAGCATGATGACAAATTGCCTCCCGAGGAGAATATTTACTTACAAATCGCTCTACTCTACACATCGGTTAGTGGTCAGCGTCGCTTGCGTATTTTGAATTTAGCACTTCGTGCCACCACTACAATTGCGGAGGTATTCAAATGCTGCGATTTGGATGCCATGATGTTGTTCTTTGCTAAACAAGCTTGCTTCAAATTGCTCGAGCTCACACCGAAACAAGTCAAGGATAATCTCATAAATCGTTCAGCGCAAATATTGGCATGCTATCGAAAACATTGCACTTCACCAACATCAGCTGGTCAACTTATACTGCCAGAGTGCCTGAAATTGTTGCCGCTCTATGTCTCTTGTTTGATGAAAAATGACGCCATCTCTGGTGGTTCCGACATGACGCTCGACGATCGTTCTTACGTCATGCAATTTGTGATGACCATGGATTTGAATATGTCTGTTAGCTACTTGTATCCACGTTTCATTCCAATTCACAATGTCGATATAGATGACAACGAATTGCCAATGTCGATACGTTGTACACACGAAAAGATGAGCGAAGATGGCGCCTACATACTCGAAAACGGTGTGCATCTCTTTGTTTGGCTGGGTCAATCGTGTCCACAAAGCTTCATACAACCGATATTCGGTGTGCAGTGCACACAGCAAGTGAATGCAGAACGTTTTGCGATTATTGGTGAAACGCCATTGGCTCAGCGTGTGCGCAACATTATCGATACGATTATGAAGGAACGTACTAGGAACATGAGGGTGAGTGGAATGCAACTTACACAAACATTTTTTGTTTTTGCATTTAAAAATTCTTCTATTTTCGCCTCTCTAATAGGTAACTTGCGTGCGACAAAACGATAAACTGGAATCGGTATTCCGACATTTCCTCATTGAAGATCGCGGCACAGACGGTTCACCCAGCTATGTCGACTTCTTATGTCACATGCATAAGGAGATTAAAGATTTATTAAGTTAGCTTGTAGGTTTTGGAAAAAGTAGCAGCAACTGCAGCTGCAATATGTCGTCGCAAAGTGGGAATAAAGAACAAACAACAACAACAACAACAAAGTACGCCACCACAGCGTCGCCTCTATTGTGCCGTAGCTATTCCCAGAATCGAGCACGTTTGCATAGGCTCTCGCGTAAAAGATGGTAGATGATGCATAATTACACGTACATACATACATACCTATATAAACATACATTCAAACAAATAAATAATTTGAACGCATACAATAGATGGTACCGTAACGTTATTACTTCTAGTATACATCCATACGCAACAGCAAAAAAAAATAAATACTAACTTCAATTTAATGTAATTGTGTCAACTCGCTTAAATAATCTGTTAATTTGGAATTCGCGCTAATCCATATATATCTTGCATTCTCCACCCCAGCGCTAGCTCTTGTGCTCTATTCGTTTATGTGTATTTTAGGTATATGTTGTGCAAATTTCTATTATTATTATTTTTATTAAATTGTAATGAAAGCAAAGGATAGTTATCATATTTGAGAAATATACACGAAAACATTATTCAAACAAAAGAGTTAGTTGTATTGTCTGAAAAACGAAAAATGGCAAAATTATAAAATATATTTGCCAATCTTATGCAAATCGATCTTATTTCTTTCGTAGTGGTACTCACCTAACTGGAAACGTAAGCCCAAAATTTATCAATATTATATTGTATAGCACCTTGGAGGACTAATGCTAGTTGAAAATTATGTAGACTATAAAAAATTAAACGTAGTACATTCTACATATTCAATACTTTTAGAATACCTTTAATTGCAGTGACTTTTGACCTTCTAGCACCCATATGCGAGGCATTTTAGCTAACGAAAATCATGTTAACTTTATTATGCAACTAAATATTAGATAATTATTACATATGCAATACATGTGTAGTTTTAATTCTTAATAGCTCACTTGTAAACCATTTAAGAAAATTCAAGCATGTTGTAATATAAGTGTTGCGAAAATCAGTTTTTTTTTTTTTTTATTCGAAAGTGTTTCTTTACAATAGGAATTATTTAAAGGGACTTTATAAAGTTTTCTTCCCATTCTGCAATCCTTTACAAACTTCTTGTGGTCAAGGCTTAAAAGTTTATGTAAGTGAAAATGTGTGGCGGTTTTATGATTATTGCGTGAACAGAAACACACATAATTTAAATATTATATATATAATTAAAAATATACATACATACAATTTATTCGCATTTAAAATAAAATTTGTTTATTATAAATATTCAATGGCTTTAAATCATGTTACAAGACGTACATAGTATTTGATTAAATAAGAATTTTAACAGCCCTACTTTTTTCCCTTCAACTGCGCTTTGAAAAAAATAACCCTCATCTTTTCCAGCGCCGGCTAAGCTTACCACAATATTTTTGCACAGAACTCACTCCGAAATTCACAAAAAGTGCATATTTCAAACCGAATTTTTTAATAAATCAGTGACCGAAAATTACAATTAGGTTTTAGACGTAAGTTTCGACCCTTGGCTACAAGTGCGTCAATCGGATCACACATCTGGACACAATAGCCCGAAATCATTGGGCAAATAACTAAACCGTACCCCATTTTCTTTAATACAAATATTTCAAATAACCTCAAATTATAAAGTGACACGTTAAGACCAATCGGTCGTAAAGGGTTAAGAATTAGTTTGGCGCAAAATTGTTGGCAATCATATGCCAAACAATCCAAAAATTATGTTTTTGTTTAACAAAAAATTAGGTACTTATTCGGTCATAATTAAATTTTGCCACAAAAATAGGTCGAAGTACCCATAGTGCAATGGAGTATAGTCGTTTTTCTGGCTGTGCACGACTAAACTCTATCTCGACCCTTTAGTTACCGTTCGCAAATCTTGGGAAATGTAAGCGGGAGATTCCGTTGCTGTAGTTGTTACTAACAGCATACAAATTCCACAGAGAGAGGGAGAGAGAGAGTGACAGTTTTGGCCAGCTATACTAGATCTGGTTACGTAGGCCCGAATGTCGTGAGAATGAACCCGTGTGGCGCTTTGGGTTACGTTGCCGCGGCCTGAAGATCTTTGGTGACTCCCTCCCTTGGGTGGTTAACTCCCTCCGGAAGTCAAAAAGAGCTTTTTTAATTAGAGTGTGAACTTTCTAATACTACGGGCACATTTAACCTAGGCTTCACTCTCCTTTTCTGCAGATAGCGCCACACTCAATGAGAATATGCGATGGTATCTACTTGGTCGGTCCACAAAAGGCGACAGAGATCATTCGTACATATCCCCGAGCTAATGCAAATACCCTCTAAGTCTTCATTGGACTGTAAAGTTGCCTGTTAGTATTTTAAGTACCACTTTTGGGAGGCTGTTTAGATATTAGAGGCTCTTAATGCTACGTACTTTGGCAGGTGAAGTCCTAATGAACTTTTTCTATTATGTTCACTGAAAGAAGAGGACTTCTTTCTGAGAGCCTAGGGCTGATAGGAGTGTTAGCTGCTCTTTTTCTTATAAGACTGCCGGTTGTCCGATATCTCTTTTCCGTCTGTCGCCCTGTGGCTTGGTACCCATACCAGCTGAATCTCATTTTACCTACCAAAGGAGTTAAGTTTCCCCAATACATTCAAGGAATAAGGATGATTAGATTTCACTTTATAAATGAATCTCAAGTGTAACTTCAACTTCTATTTAAATTTTACTCGCCACGAAGACGAATTCCATAGACTTTCGCTGCAAATATGCTCGGGTATTTTTCCATAGGAGCAGACCACTTTGGTTCTGGTTGCGGCGATACCTGCCCTGTTCGTCCTAGAGCTTTTGAGCTGTCTGTATTGCAGTGTACAGTGCAAGTTTGAAGGAGTCGAGCACCTCAAATTCTTTATATATATTTCGAGCGTTTTTGACGTGCTTTTCATTCGAGGAGCTAACTTCGACTCGGATCACTACCTTGTTGCAGTTTAAATTCTCCTGCCTTAGGCATCGCCACAAAAAAGAGATCTCGCCCTTCACTTTTTGCTCAGATAGAAAAGGGCAGTGGAATTACGTACCCCAATCTCTTCGTATCACTGGGTTATTACCACCCACGCAGAAACAGTTGGGGTGACGAAGAATGCCGCAGCGCTACTGAGGAGAAATACGCAACATACAAAGGTTCGGGAGAAAAAGGAGGAAATACGTCTTTTCAAGAAAAAGAAAAGGGAGAGGTATAAAGATGTGAGTGCGAATAGTTTGATAAGCTGGGAGACAGGAATGCCGGCCAATTTTTATGTTTTTTTTTTTTTCTTAGACAGCTTCAAACATTTTAAAGACCAGTGCTAGTCCTTACAGAGGCAAAGATGGCAATTTGCGATGAGTTGGCCAGAGTACACTTGAGATATGGTGAGAACAACTTTGACTTGACCAAGGCGAGGTGAGAATAGGAATAAAGTGACTTAAAATAAGTAAATCGCCTGTAACCTACACCATTTTCTTACTGTGGTCTGATAAACCAATCCATAAGTCATAAATCGAAGAGGTCTGATGCGATCGAGAGAGAAGTAAGACGTAAAAAAGTACTGGATTTGTTAGCATCCATCCAGACAGTACCACCTACTATCCTTTCCATACTATAAGAATAGTTTCCTTATGGTTAAATAGAGCCGGTAAAGCTTTGTGGGTGAGAGGTTCCCTGTGCTTTCCAATGGCCCCCTGGCGCTAATATAAGGCTATCGACGCTCTCTTAATCTTTTGCTCTTGCTCAAGGGTTGGCTACCAGAAAAGCTTACTGTCCAGAAACAAACGCAGATTATTCACTCGTTCAGCGAGTGTCAGCGAAAAACCGGTTTCATATCACCTTCTCGACAATGGCCTTCAGCTGATAGTTGCCACACTGAGCGAAGCGTGCGATAAGTAAACCAAACAAAATCGACCTCGACATCCAGTCTATTTGATAGTTTACGATTGCCACAGCCAAGACAATGAAAACCCCCTTGATATAGTACATAGAAGAAGGCACCAACCGCATAGTCCTTCTACCAAGACTTCTCTGTGATTTCTGCAAATGTGTATACTGCTTATCAATAAAGATCCATGAGTTCATCAAGCGTCTTTGAAAAAATTAGGAGTAAGTGATTGGTCTCCTTGTTAACCTCCTCCTTGTAACTTTGACCAGCCTACAAGGCCTTAGAATATAACCACTTCTTAAGCAACTCACGTATGCAGACGGGGAAAAACCTGCGGCACGAAATATCCGTAGACTTCTGAAATTGGTCAGGTAGGACGTCGTCACATCCCTTTTCAAGCTGTTGGATTGGCGGCACGCTGCGGCCAAGGCGGTGATAATGGTTATGTTGTAAATGGGTGGTATATCATCGCCTCTTTTAGCACATAATACGGTCCTCTTCGTTCGAGTCGGTTAGTTTGATGCAACCTTCTCTAGCCATTTTCTTGGTCCGAAGTATATTCCGCAGAATACCGGCAGATGCGTCCACCCTTTGAATACCTCGACAAGTATGACATCCTGTAAGGCAGTGAGCTCATCCGAACTTAGCGACTCCTTGGCATGGTTTCTACTCATCATCAGCATTCTGATGCTCCCTTAACGCCACAAAAGTAGCTTGGCATCTGCGCGGCACCAAGTCGGCTCTTAAGTGCCTAGCCTCGGCACCCGATGTCGGAAGGGGTGCATGCGCCCGTTTCTCCCTTGGACCGAGAGTTTGGGGTGTCATATGTTCGCTCTTTTTCTTTCGAGCGATTGTGGTTTCGACAAGTCCTCTATCATTTCTTACTTGGTCGCTGTCTCTCCTTTGTGCAATAGCTACTGCTCTTCCACCGGTCTGCGAGTGTGGTTTCGCCTATGCGCCTATATTGTGTCTCCTTCTCCCCGCCTCTTAGTTTTGCACCAAGTGCGCGTCTGTTTGAGGCACGGTAGCGCCCGCTACTTCGCTTTTCGACAAACGGCAGATAATACCCGCACTTTCGCCCATCGGCACGTAGTCCTTGCCTTGCTGCCAGATTTCCCATTCTTCCGCCCGCGTAAAAAACTCTAAAAGAAAATTTTGAAAAAATGTCCTTACCTCATTTTGGCGGTTAGGACTCGATATGTTTAGTTGTTTCACATTTAAGCTTAGTATCCAGCTCTCTGGCTAAGATATTCTCTCATGTAAAATTTCCTTAAGGCAGTATGCAGTTCTCAAAGAAATTTACTACGCTTTCTACTACGTTTTCTAAAGTTTTTTGTGAAAAAAGAGCACAAGGCAACCCATGTTTGCAACAG